CCGTTAAAATCGGTCCAGCTGATCCAAACCGATTTCTTGCCTTCCATTCTTGTTTTCTAATTGCCATTTGGAGATTAGCCAGAACAGAGAGACAGACGGATAGACAGATTAAATTTTTAAAAATTGTTTATTTGTTACTAAGTGTTCCTCGCGATTTCATCCGCGTGGAATTCCGTACGATTGGGTTTTATTGATTTAATTTTAGATTAGGGATTAGCCGGACAAAATAGACAGACCGACAGACAAAAACTTAAAAAATTGTTTATTTGTTTTAAGTATGTACCGTGTATACTTTTATATATATTTAGTAAAAAGTTGCTATTTTGACATTACAAACAGACATTTCAATTTTATTTATTTGTGTAGATGATATTCTTGCTGGGTCCAATGAAGGTAAAGAAACAATTATGGTCTTGCTAGACTTCAGCCGCACTTTCAATTGGTTGATACATCTGTCCTATTGGCAAAATTAAAATACTATGGTTTCACTAGTTTGGCCTGCACCTGATTTCAATCTTACTTTCGTAATCGACATGCTCCCATGAAAAGGCATATGATTTTTGAACCTTATTTAGTTAGGGATGGCATTTTAAATTTGTCCAATAGTACAAAGTTAAAATATGCCTGCTTCCTGCACACACTGCATCACGCAGTGTCTCCAATCCGATAAGATAACTGTTAAAAAAAAATTGCTCTCGGTCAGAGAAAAATGTCAACGGCTTCCATTACCAAGGATCGCTGCTGCTAAAATTTGTAACGATTTTGCCAGCATCAGTCCGGTCTGCCCTATCTCCGTCTACTTTCCGGAAAAGATGCCGCTAGTGGCTGATTCAACAGCAGCTCCTGGATTATCGCTCAAATTAATGAACAATTACTATTATTTATTTATTGTTTTAATTTTTTTATTGTTCATACGTGTGTTTCATCACTTGTCCAGGGCTCTGTATGGTTAATGCGCAAATGCTGTGGCAGAATAGCAGGAGTAATGGGTTTCCCGTTACAACTGAGTCACAGGCCGTTTTGTCACAACTAATTATTAAGCTTTTTTTTAGTTTTCACATTGTATTGTTTTGTGTCAACACTTTTTATTATTTATTATTATTATTAATAACTATAATAATTTATTTTAATAAGTATTTATATGTTTAAATAGAAAATTTTCAGTTTATATACATCAAAATGTCTCATTTCACACAGTCTCATTTCTGAAAACAATGTGGACTTAATAACGCAGGAGCAATTCGTCGCCCTGCTCGAGTGCGTTTTGGTGGCGTTCACATGCAGGTTTCGTCACACGTGGTGACTGATGAGCGTGTTTATCACAGACCAGCACTTAAAATTTATTTTTTAATACCCGTTACCAATTTCATTGGATTATTATGGCGAACGGTCAGACGCTTTGCTACCACGGCTCTTCTAATGACATGAATGTTAACACAGAAATTATAATATGTTTCTTGTTTTGTCAAGTTGTGGAGGATATTATTACGTTGATGAGTACCCTTAACAGACAAGCGTGTATGCGTAAATATATGGATGTAAAGGAAGCGAGAGAGGTGTGTCAGGATCGCGCCAAATGGAAGTTCGTAGTCTCTGCCTACCCCTATGGGTGACAGGCGTGAGGGTTTGTATTGTATTGATATTTACATTATGGGGTACCATAAACCACCTTTAACAATAATTAAGATTTTTTTAAATGCTTCAAATTATTCTGCTTCCCTCACCATTAGATTTTTTATAATGCAACTAAAATCGGTTACTAAATACCATAATACAAAATAAACACTGTAGCATTTACACTTAGTAAAATATGAGATATAAAAGGTGCATTATGATTTATGAAGTTCTGAAGAGTGGTTTAGTTCAAAATATTGTAGTTTTTTGACCACGGTTGTTGACTACGGAACGGAACGGTACGTCAATTATTATTAATCCATCAGTCGAATTTTATTTTGTATCGTGGAAACGTTTTACATACATAAATTGGGCTTGGACAAACATCCAGTACCTGACCACCGAACAGGTATAGTTTTTGGTACAGGTTTTCTTGTACCGGATTCAAACTCACGTCACGGCCCTATAGTGCCGCAAACAAACACTTAGCTATTGCGCTACTAAGTCGTCGAATGATTAGATAGTAATAAATGACTAGATTTTTTTAAAATTAATAATTCACTTATTCATTAAACGTTCTTTTATGTATGTTATTGTTATTTACGGCAACTTTTTATTACGATATTACAGTACTAATAGAGCTAACAGTCAGTTTGGCGGTAATTGAACGAGATAGTCTATACACACATATATAAATCAACTAGCTGTTCCCTGCGACTTCGCCCGCGTGTTATTTGGGGTTTTAATTTTTTTGCGCGGAACCCTAATTCTTATTATAAAATAAAAGTAGCCTAAGTTACTTCTTTTGACATCAGCTATCTGCCAGTGAAAATCCCGTCAAAATCCGTCCAGCCGTTTCGGAGATTAGCCGAAACAAACAAACAGACAGACAGACAGACAGACAAAAACTTTAAAAGTTGAATATTTGTTATTAGCACCGTATATACTTTCACACGCATTTAGTAAAAAGCTGTAATTTTGACATTACATACAGACACCTCAATTTTATTTATTTGTATAGATGTATAGATAAGGGCATCATTTCAACATGGAAGAAGATGGTAGAGCCAAGCTACAGCTATATTACGGCTGTAGCACAAAATTGTCTTCTCGGCCGGGGACGGATCACGCTCTCACAGAATACCACCGTAAAGTAGTAGCTTAATGTTGCTGTGTTCCGTATGATGAGTGTAGAGAACCGGATACCCTTTTCACTGAAAAACAAGGGATTCCATCTTTGTACTCAGGGGTGATAACGCATTTCAATTTTGATTTTTAATCAATGTCTATGGGCCATAGTTGCCACTTACCAGCAGGCGGACTGTGTCCTCGTTTGTTACCCTTATATTCTATAAAAAAGTGCAAAGGTACGTCATCACCATCAAGAATTATGATGAAATGCCACACAGCTTGTTATTATACTGGCGGTCTTGTCAATAACAAATCCATACAAATAAATAAAATTGAATGGTCTGTCTGTAATGTTAAAATAACTGCTTTTTACTAAATTCATATGAAAGTATATACGGTACTTAAAACAAATAAACAATTTTTTAAATTTTTGTCTGTCTGTCTGTTTGTTCCGGTTAATCTACGAAGCGGCTGAACCGATTTTGACGGGACTTTCACTGGCAGATAGCTGATGTTATAAGGAGTAACTGCGAATACTTTTATTTAAAAAAAATGTTTAGGGTACCGCGTAAAAAATTAAAACCCATGAAATCGTAGTAAATTCCACGCAGACGAATTCGCGGGGAAAAGCTAGTCTATTATATTTCTGATTAAGAAAAATCCATATATTTTGATTATCCTTAACGGAATTGACTCGTGTAGGAGCATTACTTTTTATTTATGTCTGTATTACTAGACTTATTTATGTCTTTGTTTACATCAATATAGAATATTTTACTTTCATTATCATTACACTATTAATATAATTATTTTTGTTGGCATATTATTAGAATAATTAAAGAATAAATTAGAAGTAATTAACGTAGAAACTTACTAGATTGTAAATATGATGACAGCAGAGTTAAAACACGCAGGTTCATAAAACATCTTTGTAAAGGTGACAAATGAACACAGGCTTATCAGATCGTAAGAGGATCTAAAATGCAGATATTACGTGCGAGCGTGGTACTTCACCGCTCCAGACATTCGTATTGAAGCACATAACACACCTGCAACGTGGTTCTATCAAAGCAAATAATGCTTAAAATAGTATATATGAAGAACTTTGCTAAAAGGAATTCTGTTCTAATGAACTCTCTTCTCATTCTTTTATAGTGTGGCAATACCAAGCAAAGGTAAACGTAATATGGAATGTGAAGCTGCATTAAATTGTTTGACACTGCATAACAGAGGAAGAAAAACGTAAAAATTCTTTTAAAAAGTGCTTTTATATTTATAAATACTGTGATTATTCCTGTGTTTGTGTGTGTTTTCTATATTAAAATATAATTAGGACACTAAGATAGGTGCACAAAATGAATATAGAGTTCCAAACACATTTTAATATTTGTAACTGTTCCTTACCTTAAAATAAGAAACATATAAACGTAAAAAAGTCCAATGTTTAAAGTTTTTTTAAATCTTTATGTATAAAAATTACGTGTCACATTGTTTGTCCGCGATGAACTCCTAAACTACTAAACTGATTGCAATGAAATTTTGTACACTGTGTGAAGTTTGGTCCAACTTGAGAGATAGGATAGTTTTTATCCATATAAGTGACCGTCAATATTTTTTATTACGAATTTAATAATTTTTATAGGACACAGGGTCGTCGGAGAGGGCAGAACGTGTGCCTGGCCTGCTAGTAGAATATAATATTATGAAATAATGTCTTTTAAAGCTGTTTTAGTGAAAATCTTCGACTGAATATACTATTTTTATGGTGGTAAGTTTCTGGTAAAAGATAAATTAAATAGGTATATATAAAATAAGAAAGGGCTAAAGCTCTAACAGATAATTTGTTGCCCTTTTTAGGCGGCAAGACACAATCTAGATAATAAATTGAATTAAAACATGTCACGATGATCAAAATATAAAGATGGACAAATTTCTTTAATATGATGAATATACACGAATTAGCAATTCACGCTTTCTCATATTGCCAAATCAATCTCCGTTTCGTTTATGTTGCAACTTATCATAAATCAAATATAATATGTTACATAGGTATTCTATATTTTAATGAAGTTGACGAAATTATAAATTTAAATGACCTTAGTAACTTTAGGGCTGAGAATTGTTTGTAATGATAAGAAGTTAGCGGGGCTTGTTCTTTTTGTGGCTTTTTGTGCTTGTTTACCAAGTGTCAGGGAAGTTGGCACAGTAACAATTTTTTCCATTTATAAATAACAGACTTTAAGCATTACCTTGTAATGTTACAAGATAAAGTAATTATCGTTCGTATAAATATTGTTTATGTAGTTGTGAACTATTTTACTTGTGAATTATATGAATTAGATTAAAGATTAATGTGTACGTGAAAATTAATTTATTGAAAATGTAATATGTACCCTATTACAAAACAAGTTTGAAGTTCACAAAATAAAGTACTCTCTTTATTTTTTGTTAAATGTAATTTCATGAGTATTTAATCTGTATTCCACCCAATTTAAATCAAATTTATTAACGCACGGCGTAACGTAAAACCACGCTGGATCTCATCACTATAAACGATACCTTACTTTTACCGGAAGCGCGTTCGTTTTCGGAATGCGTGTTTTATGCAGAATATATTAATTTAGAGCCCATAATATGGCTTATGTGGAACGTATACATACCTATATATTTCTTTCCAAAGATGGAGCTAATTTCATTTCGATGGTGACACTCCTATATCCACTGTGTCTAATATGTCTGCTCTATCGGTCCGTATTTCTTTTGTTATTTATATTAATTTAGTTTTAAACATTTAAAATTGTTAAAATAAGTTTTAAACACCCTAAATAAGATGCTGGAAGCTATTTACAGTTAAAAATATTATGTAACAAATATTGTTGTGATTTCTACGATTCTGATTTTCAATAATTGTTTCAGATTTTAATATTCACGATATTGGCTGGTGGAACACAGGCGGGATATCTATATCAAAAACCAGCTATACCATTTGAACTGCCAGCAAGAGAGAGGGTAAATGTACTGAATCAAAAAACCGCCAACGAGATCATATTTCAATCACACGGAAGTGCGGTGTCGTATTCTGTGCCATTTGAGGACTATCATTTCCTGAAACATCACAAAGCGGAATATCACAATTCCCCTTACAACGATCCCCATGCTACCCACGATTCTACAGTATTACAGAAAATAGTTCAACAATCAGAAAATACTTACGCAAAACCTAATGCAGTGTCAAGTGAACCAGTATTAATTCCCAACCAAAATGTTCCCACTGAAGGCAATATCGCGATAGAGCAGAATGTAATTCAACCATCGGAAAATGTTTTCGCAAAACCTAATATAGTGCTACGTGAACCAGTTTTAATTCCGAATCAAAATGTTAACAATGAAGGCAATGTCGCTGTAGTACAGAATGTAATTCATACTGATGTAGTGTCAAATGAACCAGTTTTAAGTGTCAACCAAAATGTTAACAATGAAGGCGATGCCGCAATAGTACAAAATTTAATTCAACAATTAGAAAATGCATTCGCAAAACCTGATATAGTGCCAAATGAACCAATTTTAATTCCCAACCAAAATGTTAACAATGAAGGCAATGTTGCAATAATACAAAATTTAATTCAACAATTACAAAGTGGTTTTGCTAAGCCCGATGAATTGCCAAGTGACGGTAATGTAGCTATAGTACAAAATGTAATTCAACAAACTGAATCAAGTTTCGCTAATAACGCTCCTATTAACAATCAGTTAGCCAGCATTACCGACAACCATGCAGTAATACAGAACACAATTCAGCAGTCAGAAGCCGCATATCTTCAGCCAGATGTACGGGATACTGTTGAACCAACCATTACTAAGCATATTTATTTTCACGTTCCACCACCTGATATTGAAGAAATACCCGTGTACCGACCTCCTGTACCTCCGAAAAAGATCTATAAGATAATATTTGTTAAAGTACCTAATCAAGAATCTGCAAATACAGTACAATTACAGCAAGCTCTTTACAATCGAATAGCCCCTGTCGAAGAAAAGACTTTAATATACGTCCTAGCTAATAGGCCTGAACCTGTACAAGTTTTACCTTTGCCACCAAAACCAAAACCCTCTGAACATGAAGTATTCTTTGTGAAATATAGAGCCAACAAGATAAGTGCTCCTTTACCCGAACCCGGTAATTTGTTGCAAGAAAATACTGATTTAAACGTGGAACCAATTTTACAACCAGGATTGGTAAATGGCAAGCGTTAAGGTATATATAATATATATTTAAATATTCGATTTTTTCTTCTTTGTTTTGTTTTTGTTTTACTAAGTATATGAACTAATCATGTTTTGTAAGTTAATACTTGAAGGCTTTGTAGTATTTTAATATAGAGTCCTGGTAGCGGTGCGAAATGCTGAATCCAAATAATTATTATACAGTAATAATTAATATTAGCAACATTCAAGGAAGTTTTTGTACGGGTAATAGGTTATAAAGGCTTTTGTGTCCTTTTGTTTCTTTTAATGAATTAATGAATTGATGTTAATGTATTAATTAATTGAATGGAACAATAAAGTAAACAATGCTATGAGATAATAGCCTGTGTAATATTTATTCTTGATTCATATAAAGCGACTGGCAATGTTTTAGTCTATGTTTTAAACGTGGTTGATTTGTTACGTAATTGTTGTTATTTTGCATCGTTGATCACAACAATCATTATCACTATAAACCATTCTTTTATTGCTGAATATAGCCCTTCCCCATAAATGGCCATAAAGTACGGTCTTGAGCTACCTGCGTCCATCAACCACCTGCGTGTTGCAAGGTCGTCATTCCATCTAGTGGGGGGGTCACCTAACATAGCGCTAAATAGTACGAGGCTGCCACTCGGGAACCTTTCTTTCTCCGGCCTGGCTGGGCTGGTCCTTTGCTACTTCAGCTTACTGATCGTCTGGGCTATGTTAGTTACTCTTGTTCTTGTGCCGATATCCTTATAAAAGATTTTATACTACAGAGAAATTCCGATCGTAGCTTTTTCCATACCATGGCTTTGTTGACATCATTGTATTAGTGTAATTATCGTAAAAGAAAATAAGAAACAAATTCTAATTACATTTTATGCCACGCTTAGTTTACATCAATATGATGAAAATATCACTCTTAGTAAATCAAATTATAAATAAATAAAAAAATACACATAATATTTCATCATTAACATCATCATTACAGTCCTTCACAAGTCCACTGCTGAACATAGGCCTCCAAGGCCCCCAAGGAATGCCACAAAGCACAGTCCTGAGCCGTTCGCATATGTGTCAGTAATTTAAAGACTATTCAGCGTACAGTGGCGGTGTAAGAATTTTCACTAATTCATATCGACTTGTGGGTGTCGTAAAAGGCGACAAAGGGAAACCAGGAGATGGGTACCAGCGTCTTTCTAATAACATCAAAAAATAAAAAAAACTGCGTTTACCAGCCTGCCTGCTAAGTGTGCCAACTATAGCAAATATCCACTTTATGAGGCAATCTATGTGGAGTGGAGTTTTATAGACTGTAATGAATAAATGAATGATAGAAATCCGAGGAACCTGGCAAGCATCAGCAAATTAAAATTATTTTATTTGTTTGTGTTTATTTCGTTGTTTCATTTAGTAATAATCGTAAATGCTAAGCGAATTTGAAAATTTACTGTCGCTAAAGTAGTTTTAATTATAGTTAATTTTAACTATAGAAAAATAAATAAGAAAGAAAATACTTATAATTCTTTCCTTAATTTAATGGAATGAATATACATAGAAGGATTTAATTAATACACTGCAATGGCTATCAGATGTTTACTTTAAAATGTAACTATACACCAGCATATTATTAAGTTTTTACTAATTTCCAAATTGTATTGCGTCATATCCAATTACATAATGTCAGTGTTGTATAATCAGTGAAATTCAAATGTTAGGTATATCCAATAGATAGACCAAATTACATATTACACACGCGGCCGCATAAATGAATGAAAATGAGCATTTGCGTGTTCTCATTAAATTAAAATTTCTAAATCCTACTTGATCAGAGTTCCGTAGCATCAATAAATCATCTATATAATATGGAAAATCCCTATTCCATCGAATATATTATAATATCGTAGAGTACAATTTAATCCGACAGCGCGAATTGGGGTCTGTGACGTAGTCAAGAAATATTATCGAGATTTGGACATCGTATGAAAACACAATGTATCTCTCAAGTAATACATATTATATTAAATTAGATTGTTTAGTGCGATTGCCAAGTCAATTTATTTATTTAAAATATAAATGATTTTTAGTATTGATGTGGTCACCATAAGATTTTGTTAGGCCTTCAGGTTAGCTAATTACGTAATAATTTAAGACAGAAGGACCCTTAAGTGGGGACTGAATAAATTAACCGACTTGGTATTACATGGATCTCACAACTTTTTACGGTAGAACTGAGTTGCGAGACTTGGCGTTTTTTTACAAGTTATGTTTTGTGTCAATCCAAATTACAAAAAACTGTGTTTACATTCGCAAGTATTAACTACTCTATTTTATTACATTTTTTAAAAATTTGTACTAAACGCAAATTATTTTTTAGGTCTTATTGAGAACACAATTTATAAATTGTTTTTTTATTTTTATTAAAAAATCACCAAAATCGAACAAGCCTTGGAACATGAGGTGATCGATTCTCTTTCGATGGCTCACACGACATGTGCCTTCTTATTTATATTATAAAAGGCTAATTCGTCGTTTAACCTACATATATTACACTATCTAAATAAAATTGAAGTGTCAGTCTGTAATATCGAAATAATTGCCTTTTATTGAACTGAGAGGGATGAAAATTGCAAAGAAGTCGAATGTTTTCTCGGTAGTAGAAAGTAATTTTTCTAATTCAATCAACGATATAGTTTTTCACTCATGACTAAATGATAGGTACGTTAGCCTTAAAAACACTAAGGTTTATTTTTATAGTTATTAGATATAGGTTTTATATATAGGCCGGCTAAGACTGGCGATCTAATCATGTGTAGTAGAGGAGTAAGAATATCTAATACCTCATATCATCCCGTGGGTATCATAAGAGGCGACAGAGGGAACCTGTAACAGGAGATGGCAGCAGCATTCTCATTACAATAAGTTAAAATTAAAAAAATACTGCGGTTATCTACCCGCTTGCTAAGCATTGCAATTACGACAAAATCCCCTTTAATCCCTATTGTGGAGGTCTATATTCAACAGTAAACGTCATATGTGCTGTAATAAGTAAATTAATGATATTATCAACAAAGGGATTGTATTTCGAAAAAATTACGTACCTACGTTATATAATGGAAGCGCGAGAAAAACTTGTTATGTTGTAGCTCTTACAATTGAAGATGATAACTGAAGAAGGAGACACTTAAGAAGTAATCAATATAAAACAGCACAGCGCGGACCACCGGCGGACCGGAGGGGAGTAGCCATACACAGACGTTCCCTTCTGTCAAAGTATAAGTAAACGCGGTCTTATGCGTACAACAAAACTAGTTACAGCCACGCTGTTCACTAGACTAAACCTAGTTGCGTGGCTGAATCGAAGTCCTACAAAAACGCCGAATTGTTCAGGTTTTTGCTGCAAAAAGAGATCTGTCACGTCAAATTTACAAAAAGGTGACGTTATATTTTTAATCACATTATTGCTATTTACTTTTTTTAAACTTAAAAATCACAATATTAGGTCATATCATTTCGGATTTGTGTACTAACACAGGCCGTTCGCCCTTGTACAATATGCAGATCGGCTGAGCGACAGATTTGAGTCTCTATCCGAATTGTCGCTGTCACCGGGCGATACTGTTATAACGTATCTATGTGTGGAATTGTTAGTTTATTGTTTTAATTGTTATGTGTGAGTTTCGTAGTGATAAACGATTGAATTTGTGTCCACAGATTTCCCCCGCAAAAAATGACAGACAGTTTTGTAATGGTAAAGAACGCAATGGCCCCTCTTGCTCTTGATATTAAAAATATACTAGAATATTTAAAGCACTTATTTTTTTTCACAGAATGTGTACTTCATGTATTCGATGCATTGTTTGCTTGATGTTATTAATTTGATAACCTCCTCGCATGTTGCTTTAGATAAATATAACGTATTTTGTTTTCCTTTATGGATATGTTTGTCGTATCGATTCGGAAAAATCGCTGGCGACAGTAGGTTCCATAGTTTGGTGGTGCGAAACAGAAAATTCAGCATCAATCGCACAGTAGTGGACCGCTAGCCACCGATATGATGAGAATGGAATTCCGAGTTCTGTCGTAGTGAACGATGATGGAATTCAGCAGCTGGAATTAATAGGAATTATTCCTCTGAGCAATCCCCGTGGTATATGCGGTAGAAGATGCATAGAGATGCAACGTCTCTTCGCAAGGTCAGTGGATCAAGTTGATCGGAAATAACTTGATCGTTCACGACTCGAGCCACTCTGCGTTGAATATGGTCTAGTGGAAGGAGCTGATACTGGGGTGTACCGGCCCAGAGACGAGAACAGTATTCCATATGAAACCGACCCTGCTCTTGGTAAATCTGCAAGCGGTGGTCCGGCATAAAATACCGTCTTGATCTACTGGACACACTAAGCTTTTTTGATGTCACTTTAGCCTTCCCTTCTAAGTGAATGCGGGTCTGTACGTCTTTCGAAATGTCGCCGCCAAGGATTCCGATGCTGGCTGAAGCAACGAGAAGAGTGGCCTGAAATTGAGGAGATACGACAAAGGGGTTATTTTATGCGGTAAACGCGCAAACCTGTGTCTCTTGGGGGTTAAACTGGAACAGATTTAGTCGCCCCCAATCCGAGACTTTGTTAAACAAACACTCGAATTTAGACACGAGTTTGTTACAGCACTCGACGACAGATTCCCGAGAAATATTAACACCGCCGTGTTGTATAAAGTATCGCCAGTGCTGTCGTCTGCATAACAATAAATGTTACTAGTATACAACATATTATTGATATGCAGAAGGAACAGAGTAGGCACGGGTATCGCACGCAGCCATTGAATACCTTTATAGTTCGATTTGTAAGAAAACTAGTGACCCAAAAGCATAATTTAAGTGACCCAATTGTAACGGTAATGGCAACATGAAAGCAAACATTTTGTAACAAAATTGAGACCTTTATATAGCTTCGCAAACTTTCATAATTCCATATTAATAGCTTTCGCAAGTTGATGTAAACAACAAAATAACTCAATTCATA